GGGGGGTCACCCTCATCACCACGGGCTCCATTTGTGCAGCACGGGCTCCCCTTCCTCCTCCACCTCCCTGCCCCAGCCCCTGGCCACGGCCTCGCTCCGGGGCGGGCGGGCAGCTCTGCTCACCCCCTGCCACAGAGCAGCTCCCTGGGCAGGTCTGGGGGAGGGTGGTTGGGGCATGGAGCAGGTCCCAGGGCAGGGGGGCGGAGCCATGGGTCTGTGGGGGCGGGGGGGGCCAGGGTCTGTGGGATCGGGGGGGGGCAGGGTCTGTGGGGCTCCAGGGGGCAGGGGGGCCCGGGGTCCATGGGGGCAGGCCCCTATCACAAAGGTCTGGAGTCTCCCTGCCCCCCCTCCCCAGACCAGGTGCCCTTCGCCGTGGACATCGCCCAGGTGCTAGACGTGGACGGGGACGACCGGCGCTTCGTGCGGAACCGGGCCGTGGCCTTCAGCGTCCGGCTGCACGACCCCAGCCACTACCTGCAGTCCGCCGACGTCTCCTACTCCTGGGACTTCGGGGACCAGAGCGGGACCCTCATCTCCCGCGCCAGCACCGTCACCCACACCTACCTGGAGGCTGGCCCCGTCCAGCCCCGCGTGGTGCTCCAGGCTGCCATCCCTGTGGCCTGCGGCAGCACCTCGCCAACACCGCTCGTGGATCCCACCACGGCCCCCGCGGCGCAGCCCACCTCTGCCTCGGCTCCAGCCAGCCTGGCGCCCAGTGGGGGTGCCACACAGACCCTGAGCCCGGCACCCAGCGTGGGTAAGTGGCGGACGTGTCCCTGGGGCTGGGCTGCAGGTGCCAGCCTGGAACCGGCTGCAGCTCTTGCTCTCTCTGCCCGCAGTGCCCACCGCCACGGCCGAGCCAGCGACACCCACGGCAGGCCCGGCCTCTGTCCCTGCCAGCCCCGCGGAGCCCGGCACGGGCGCCACCCTCCCCAGTGCTGCGACCCTGGCCGCCACCAGTACCGCAGCTCCCACCCCTGCCTTGGAAACCGGCACCGTGCCCACCATGGCACCCGGGTCCGTGGTCACCGTCGTTGCCTCAGACCTGGCCGTGGCTTCTCCGGATCCGACGCTCCCTGCCTCTGTCTCTGCCGCTGGGGACCTGCCGGGCACCTCGCCACCAGCGTCCGCGTCCTCCATGGCCAACCCGCCGGGCACCTCGCCACCAGCGTCCACGTCCGCCGTGGCCAACCCGCCGGGCACCTCGCCACCAGCGTCCGCGTCCTCCGTGGCCAACCCGCCGGGCACCTCGCCACCAGCGTCCGCGTCCTCTGTGGCCAACCCGCCGGCCAGTGTGGCAGGAACCGTGGCCAACACTAGCTTGGGAGCAGCAGGTGGGGGCTCGCCTGGCATGGGGGGGGTCCCACGGGGCTGACCCAAAAGAGCCCCCCTTCCCCGATGATTTCAGGGGTCCAGCTTGGGCCTGATCGCAGCCTGTGGGGGGCAGGTCCTTGCCCGGGCTGCCTGGGGATTGAGGCTGGTCAGCGTCTGGCCTGGGCCGGGCCGGCTCGGCTCCGCCGGATACGGGGCCTGTTCCGAGCGCTGCGGGTGCCCAGGGGGTGGAGGGCAGCGAGTGGTGGCTCTGCCTGGGGGGGGGCAGCATGGTCCCAGGCCCAGCTGCCAGCGGCTGGAGCCAGGACAACGTCGGGCGTCCCGCGGGGAGGTGGCTGTGACCCAGGGGGCTCGCTGGGTGGGCAGGGCCCGGCCGGGGGAGTCTCCTTTCTCTGTCTCTTGTCTCTCGGCAGACGCAGATCCTGCCGCCCCTGAGGCTCTTGTGCTGGCCAAGCGGCAGGCGCCCGCCGACTGCCTCCTGTACCGATACGGCACCTTCTCGACGGAGCTGGAGATCGTCCGTGAGTCGGGGCGCGGCGCCGCCCCCAGCCCAGGGTCCCAGCGAGCCCCTGGCCCCGAGCAATGGGGGGCGCCAGCCACAGGGCAGTGGCAAGCCACACAGCTCCGGGCGTGGGAGGGGCCGTCCCAGCCTGGCTGCGCTCGGGGCAGGGGGCACTGGTGAAACCTGGGGGCTCCATGGTCCCTGGGGGTCAGTCTGCACTAGGGCCTGGGTCGAGATTCACCCTGACTGGGGGGCTGCCCTGCCCCCCCATGTGCTTGGAATGGGGCACAATGCAGGGCCCCCCCAGCCGTTCCCACGCCACCCCCTATATCTGGAGCAGAGCGATGGGCACTAGGCTCTGGGGCAGCCCCCCGCCCCTCTGCTGGGCACTTTCCGGCGGGGGGGGGGAGCTGGAGGGGGCAGGCTGTTTCCAGGGGAGCAGCGGGTTCCCGGGGTGGCTGTGGCTGGGCGGGGGTGGGTATCGGGGCAGGGCCTGGCCGTGCCCACTCTAACGCCCGCCCATTGCAGAGGGGATCGAGAGCGTGGAGATCGTCCAGGTGGTGCCGCTGGCCCCGGCGGCGGGCGAGAACGCCGTGGAGCTCACCGTGACCTGCCAGGGGAGGTAGGGGGCACCCGGGGGGGGAAGCATTCAGGACGGGCAGGGCGGCTTCATGCACCAACCCCCCTCACCCCGGGGCCTGGACCCCAGCCCCACCCTGCAGCAGCACCTCAAAACTGGGGTGGGGGAGATCCCCCGGGCCAAGCCACCCCCAGCATTGTCCCCCCCCCACCTGCTGGAGCCCAGCTCCCAGGGGCACCTGGCCCATCCTGCCTCCTGCGGGTGCCCCCCACCCGTGCCCCTCCCCCATGGCCGTGCCTTACTTGCCCCCTCCCCCCCAGCCTGCCGGACGAGGTCTGCACCACCGTCTTGGACTCCACGTGCCTCACGCCCCAGCAGCGCGTCTGCAGCCCCGTGCTGCCCGCGCCCGCCTGCCAGCTCCTGCTGCGCCAGGCCTTCAACCAGAGCGGCCTCTACTGCCTCAACGTCTCGCTGGCCAACCCCGCCAGCCTGGCCGTCGCCAGCACCCAAGTCAGCATCCGAGGTAGGGCCTGGATTTGGGGGGGGAGCAGGGGGTGGGCACAACCCCCTCACGGCTACACAGGGAGCTGTGCCCCCCCCCCCGGGTGCTGGGGAGTTTGGGGCCCAGCCGGCTCCGAGACGCCCCGGGGGTAACGGAGGGGCTGGCTGGCCCCATCCTGCCGGGTGCTGAGCCTGGACGCGCCGGGCCTAGCTCGGCCCCAGCCCCACCTCACCGCTGCCCGTGTCTGTGCCCTGCAGGTGCCGATCCCGCCGTGCCCAGGATCACACTCATCGTGGGGCTCATGCTGGTGGCCGTGGCCCTTGGCGCCGTGTCCTACGCCTACAGGTGAGCCCAGCCCCTGCCCGCTTCGTACGCCGGGTCCCGCTGCTCCCAGAGCCGGGGCACCAAACGGGGCCACCCCCCAGCCCAGCCCGGTTTTACCGGCCAGTGGCACCCAGATGCCCAGCTCAGATCAGGGCCCCCTCTGGGGCTGGGCACTGCCCAGCATCCCCTGGCCATGATCAGGGCCCCATTGGGCCAGGCCCAGCCCCAGCCCCGAAGAGCTTCCCCGCTGCACAAAGGGAGGGGGATGAGCTCCCAGTTCTGGAGGGGGAAACTGAGGCATGGTGCATCAGTGGCAGAATTGGGGCTAACCCAGGTCCCCGCTTTGTGGGCTGCCCTCTGTGGAGCCAGCCCCCATGTGGTGGGGTTTTTTTTTGGGGGGGGGGGCAGCCCTGAGCCCTGGCTGGCCAGGTATGACACACCCCCCCCCTTTGCCCCTTGGCAGGCGTGTGAAGTACAGACCCCTGCCCGCCGGCCCCGCCCGCAGCCCCCTGCCCCGGGCGTGGCTGCCCGACCGCGCCGCCCTGCGTCTCTTCCTGCGCCAGGCCTTCGGCACCGCACCCACCGGCGAGAGCAGCCCCTTGCTGAGCGGCAACGTGGTGTAGAGCCGGCGACGCCCCCTGAAGGACCCGGCCCCGGAGCGCCCCAGCCCGGCCCCTCCTCCTGCCATTCGGGGTGGGGGCTGGGATGCCCCAGAGCCGCGCTGCTCCCTGCCCCCACAGCACGGTGGGAAGGGGGGTGGTGGTTTGCAGGTGCCCGTGTCCTTACCAGCAATTAAACACTCAGACTCCCGCCCGTGTCGGCTTGGTTCTGTCCCTGCCGGGGAAGGTGCTGGGTGAATGCTGGGGCAGGGAGATATTCAGGATCCAGCACCCCCAATGTGGAGTCAGCTGCCCCCCCGCTATAGGTCATGCTTAGCGCCCTCCTCCAGCAGGGGGAAGCAAAGCAGGGGGCAGGGAGGTGCCTGCAGGGACTGGAATGGAACCCAGGCACCCTGCCCCACAGAACTGGGAGTAGGAACCCAGGCGTCCTGTGACGCTGTGCTCAGCCCCCCCAGGATGACCCTCCCCTGAGCAGCACTGCCTCTAACCCCAGGACCCCCCTCCGGGCGTGTGGCGGGGGCCGGGCTGGAGGCGCCCTGGTCAAAGCCAGGGCCTGGGGGCCCATGCCCAACCTGAGAACTGGGGTCTGTGCCCCCTGCCCAGAACAGAGACCATTGGGCGGAGGAGGGAGAACAAAAACTCCAACCTTTATTAGTAAGACGAGGCACTTGAAATCTCGAGGGGGGGGGGTGTTGGACTGTGGGGGCAATAAATAGTGGGGCTGGAATGTAGGGTACACGCAGGGGCCCAGCATGCTGCTGCCCCCCACTCCCCGCAGGGGCCAGAGATGCACAGGAGGGGCAGGTACATATGCCCCCTTCCCCCCCACCATGGGGCAGAAACAGCCAAGAGGAGGGTGGGCAGTGGGGGCCAGCGCTCTCAGCAGCTGGGGGGGGGGGGGAATAGACCAAGGCCCCCGTGCGCCCCCCCACTCACTACCGCGGACGGCCCGGGCTGGCAAGCAGGGGAGCGAGGGCAGGGAAGGGGCCCTGGCTGGTGGGGCCGCAGGTGTGACCCCCCACCCAATGACACAATGGGTCTATCCAGGGCATCCAGGCGGCCGGGGGGCAGGAACCAAACCCACCAGCGCCCTGTGGTTGGGCTGTCCCCTGCTCCGAGCCAAGGGGGCCGGGTCGGGGGGGGTCCTTGTCCCCCAGCTGGGCCCCCCCCTACGACTCATGGGGTCCCTTCTTGATGCCGAAGAAGCTGGAGGAGCGGGGAGGCGGGGCCAGGAGCATGGGCGCCTGGTTCTTGTGGGTGATCCTGATCTGAAAGAGAGAGAGTGGGGGGAGGACGCGCTGGGGGGGGCCCTGGGCCAGACTGGGCGGGGGGGACCCTTCCCCCAGCTCCAGTCACACAAACACCCCCCCCCTGCAGGTTCCCTGGGAATGCACCTGCCCTCCCCCCGGCACCTCCCGTCTATGGGGGGTGGGGGGGCTGCCAGCACCCCACCCCCATGGCTCCGAACTCCACCAACCCCGGCCCCATGCGACCAGCGAGCAAGGGGCACCCAGGCCCCACACCCTCTCCCAACGGGCTGACTGCCCTGGCCCCCAGCAGCCCAGCCCCCCGCCCAACGCCAGGTGGCCCCGGCTTCCTTCACACTCCACAATGGATTGGCGGGGCAGGGGCGGTCTATTGAGGCCTCTCGCGGGGGCTGGGAAAGCTGCAGGGGGCCCGGCTCCCCACCGCTGGGGGGCACAGGGGGGACCCCGATACGGCTCCTTACCGTGCAGGGCGGCTGCATCCAGGGCTCCCCGTCGATCTGCATGGGCAGGCACTTCAGGGTCCTGTGGAGACCCCGGTGTGAGACAGGAGCACCCCCCGGCCCCCCGCAGGGGGCTGGGACCTTCCCCAACATGTGGCGGGTCCCAGGAGTGGGAGGCCAGGCCCGAGCCTGCCTCCCTTGGTATTATGGGGGGCCGACTGCCCCCGGGGGACCTACCCCCCCCCGCTGCCCCTGGTGCCCCCCCGGTGCTCACCGCAGCGTGATCTCCGAGCACTTGGCCAGCCGCTTGCCTGCGCTCTTCAGGCCCGTGTAGATCTGCCCCATCTCGATCACGCCCTCCAGCCCCACCACTTCCAGCCGCTTGTCGCTCAGGTCTGTGGAGAGGGAGGGGCCGTCAGCGCTGGGGCCCCTGCTGCCGGGGGCCCGGGGATGACTGAGCCCAGTCCCCACACCCGGGTCCCCACCAGCCAGCTCCGTGGGCCGGGGGACGTGTCCTCAGTGAGTGGGGCTGGTCAGTGGGCACCAGGGGGTGGGGGTGCCAGGGGTGCCCCTGCTCTGGGGAGCTCCCCTCCCAACCCCCCCATAGGCTGCTGTGCCTTTAAGGAGGCAGGGCTCTAATGGCTCCACCTAGTGGGCGGAGCCAAGGCGGAAAAGGCAGGTATGGGTTGGGGGGTCCCTGTGCTGGTGGGTTCATGCAGAATTAGCCTGAAACCTGCCTGGGCCCCGCCCCCCACCTGCACCTCAGACGTGGCCCCGCCTCTGCTCCACCTGAGGCCCCGCCCCTAACTCCGCCCACCAGATGCCCACCTGCCCCCCCGGCTCCGCACCTTGCACGCAGGTCTTGAGCATCTCCGGATCGGTGACGGCCTCGGGCTGGCTCCCGCCGCCCACCTTCCGGGCCTCGCCCAGCGGCTTCTTGGTCTCGCCCCAGAGGTTGGAGCCGCCGTGCATGCTGGGGATGTTGAGGACAGCGACCCCCGACAGGGCTCCGCTCAGGTCCAGGGGCTGCCCACAGCACTGGGGGGGGCAGAGCCCTTGTTACCCACCGGGGACCTCCTTAAACCAGCCCCCACCCGGCACTCGCCCGGCCAATGCGCCAGCCTGGGGCTCTGCCAGCAGGGGGCGCTGGGGGGGGCAGGAGCGCCGGCTGGGGGGGGGCTCCCAGCTCCTCCAGCCCTGGGCTCTGCCAGCAGGGGGCACTGGGGGGGGGGCAGGTCAGGAGTGCCGGCTGTGGGGGGAGCTCACCTCAATGGTCAGATATTCCTTGAGCTTTTTGCAGGTGGCGAAGATGGTCTCGGACGTGGCAAATTCAAAATACCAGAGTTTGTTCTTCATCCTGGAGAGGAACCAGAGCTCCACTAACCCCGGGTGGAAAACAGAACAAACCAAACCACAGAAGGGGGCGCCGTGGGGGCAGGGGGCTGGCAGGGGGGGAGGGGAGTGCCCGGCTGTTCCCGTCCCAGCAGGGGGCGCCGTGGGAGCAGGGCAATGGCGGTGGGGGGAGGGGAGTGCCCGGCTGTTCCCATCCCAGCAGGGGGCACGGGAGGGGGGGAGGGCAGGGTGCTGGCTGTGGCTCCCGGCCCATCTCAGCGGGAGGGTGTCAGGGGGGTCACCAATGCGATGGGCGAGGACCTGGCTACGGACCCAGAGTCGCTGCCCCCCAAGGGCCCCCCAAGCCCCAGCCAGGATCCACATGGACGCCAGGGCCCACCCAGGATACAGCCCCCGCCCCCCCCCCCGCCTGGCCTTCCCGGCCCAGCCCCCCCCCACCAGCCTGCCCCAGGCCCCCCCCCGTGCTCACCGGCTGTTGAATTTCTCGGGGTACTTCTCCCGCATGAGGTGGAAGCGGTGAGCGATGGAGGCGTCCTGGGGACGAGACAGACGCAGTCAGAGCCCAGCAGCCCCCGCCCCCCGCGGTTCCTAGGCTGGCCAGACGGGGGGGACGCCGAGCGGGGCTCCACCCTGCCCCCCCAAACCACCCTCCCCCCCCCCAGTGCCCAGCCCCCCGGCCGTACCACGCCAATGGAGAAGTAGTTGTTGATGATCTCGTAGGGGACGGGATCCCCCTTCTCCGCGGGGTTCTCGGGGGTCACCTGCACCAGCCACCGGTCCATGAGCAGGACGCTGCTGCTCTCCATGTCCTTCAGGATCTTCCGCAGATTCTCCCCGTCGTAGCCTGGGGGGGGCAGGGGTCAGTGCCAGGTGCAGGCAGGGGGCACCCGGCTGGACGGGGCCATAGGGCTGAGCTGGGGGGGCCAGGCCCGTTGCTCTGATGGGGGGGGGGTGCCAGGCTAGGCAGCCCCATAGGCCCAGCTCCCCCACCAGGCGTCACTCACCTCCTCCCCAGCGCAGGCACCGCGCCAGGTCGTTGCCGGTGCCCAGCGGGAGCACGGCCACCGGGGGGCGCTGGGGCAGGTTGGCTTTATCTGCAAGGAGAGGGGGATGGTCAGGGAGGGGGGAGCGGGCTCCTTGGCCCCATTTCCTGCCCCTCCCCCCTCCAGCTTCCACCTACCGATGGCGTCCCGGATCCCCCCCCCGGGGCCTCCCCCCCCCCCCACCAGGATCCGGAAATCTGGCACGTCCCGGAAAAAGTTCAGCCTGAGAACAGAGACACGGAGCTGGGTCAGCACCGGGGCCCGCACTCCCCCCTCCCCCATTTCCCTGCCAGATCCTCCCCAAGGGTTCATTAAACCCTGACCTGCCCTGGCTCTGCCAGTGCCCCTCACTCCCGACCCGCAGCCCCCATAGCCCAGCCCTGCCCCCCCAGCTCTGCCGGTGCCCCTCACTCCCGACCCACAGCCCCTGCTAGACCAGCCCTGGGCCCCCAGCTCTGCCGGTGCCCCTCACTCCCGACCCGCAGCCCCCATAGCCCAGCCCTGG